AAAATTGTCATTCAGAATCCTCCTAAGAAGCATGTGAGCACATGATTCAACCAACTAGCTTCACATAGCTAGAACCCTACATATCCAGTAGCCTAATGTCACAAAAAGCTGTTTGACATCACAACCTCACTAGAGGTAAATACTCTTCACAATATTGATTAGCACGCAAGCCTAAAATCTATTTGCACTATTGCAGTCACAATCCATAGACAAATATTTTACCCGCCTGTCATGGATAAACAATTAGATTCCATAAATCTGACTCCTTTGATCAGAAGAATTTTCCAGATGTCAAAGAGAATGTCCTTGACATTTGACCTTTATGTACAAGGAACCTGGCTGAGATAACACAAGTCTACTGGATGCTAGAGCTCATCCTCTGCACTTCTACTAACTTGGATCAGAAATAAATTGAACCAAGAAGTAACCAATTGGTTTATCAATATTCAACCAGCCCACCAATCTAAGACATGTTCTCTGGATAAAATATCTTAGATACACAGCCCGGATGCCTCCTCTTCCAAATCAGGAGTAGGTTCCAAACATATGTGATTATCACATATTTGTTTAGCACCCAGAGCATCTGGTGTTCAACAGGAAACTGTACATCTGGTAGGACATCAGTTCCCTTCTTCTGGAACACAAAATTGAGCTTGGTTCTGAAGCCATCACTACTTCCAGAAAATCAAAACATCCCTTGATCACCTTCAAGGTCTTCAAAATTAGTCCAAGCTCCAGCTACACCAACAATAACAAGACTTAGAGTCACTTTCCTAATTAGATCAAGAATTAGGTACACTCTTTCAGAGGCTGAAATAAATGGCTTTATCCTTTCTTCAATAGTCTGTCAAGTAAACAACATGTTTCTTGAAAAATATATAAACCACACACTAAAGTGCCTTTATGAGTGGACTTGAGAAGTACAACTCAAGTATCGTTGGCAACTTTACACAGATGGTTGAAACAACCTTGCACATATCCCATCATCATAGGATAAGTCTGCTGAGGAGACCAAACCCTAATGACATGCTGACCAAGGTTACAACATATACCATGCAGTGGAAAAACACATCAAATTATCCTCATCATTCATCAGGCACAACATAAAACCTTGCACACAACCACCACAGTCTAGGTGAAAACAAAAAAACCTAGGTTTGAAATTAAATCAAACCTAAGATAGCAGCTCACCACCAAAGCTACGGGCCTGATAACAACAGACAGTTCCAACACAACTCTGTCATGAACAGTCCATCCTCCACTTCAAGGGATCGTTCAAACAACAATATGAACTTACCCAAGTTCAAACATCTTTTCAGTAGATACCTCATTCCTTACCCATGACCAGAAAGTATCATCCTAGGATCTCACCCAAAAATAGAACAGGATGCCTGCGCTGATACCAATTGAAATTCTGGTATAACAGAACTCATATGTCTTAGGTCATGTTGGGACATCTGATCTGACTTAAACAAATATGGCAAGGTATAAACAATAAAAGCAGTACTGAAAAGATAAATAACACACATAATTGTTAACCCAATTCGATGCAAACCAACACCTACTCTGAGGACTACCAAGCCAGGAAGGAAATCCACTAGACAATATCAATTCAAAGATAAACTAGTCTCAAGTTTACAACTTATCACTTAATCACTATCCTGTGCAACTTCTACCTAGGTCCTCCTTAGATATGAGAAATCTCGCCTCACATCTAATCACCATAATGATGTCTAACAGACCCAGTTACTGTATCAATGACTTCTTACCTAAATGAAGATCACACTTCAAATGCAAAACAAACACCTTAATCAAGACACCCCTTGATTAAGAGCAACATACTTGATCTTGCTTCACAGTTTTGATCGAGAACACTACTTAGAGTTGCTTAATTGCTTCCTCCAAGAACAATAATGCCTCTTGCTTAAAATCTTTGAGAAGAAGAATAACAGAGATTACAACCTTGTAACACAGTCCAACTCACAACTCGAGTAGATCACACAAACCAACTCTCCTAGAGAGTGGCACAATGACAAAGCGCTAATGATTCTACATCATGGACCCGTACAAAATTAGGTTACAAATACTTCTATTTATAAACATTTCCCAACTGGATTTGGACTTCAAAAATGCAGCTGAGAGGCTGCATAAAGTCTGCAAAAACTTCTCCAAGAAAATAGGTTTTCAATCATAACTTTCCTAAAATGTCTCTATATTTAGAAAGTTTGAATATCTTAAAAAACCAGCATAATATCTCGGATTTATCAATCTTCAACACCAAATAGGATTACTAAATATTCCATAACAACTGAATATAGACTGTCAGTTGTAGCGGACCTGATGTCCTATACTTCTGGTTAGGACATCCTTTTCGACATGTTCAAACAACAAGTTGAAACATCTTAAATTGCAAAATTGTAACCATCCAGATGTCCTGGTCTTCTAGTTAGGACATCACATTCGACATGTTGAAACATTTTCCAAACTGAAAAATTGTAACAGACCAGATGTCTTATACTTCTGGTTAGGACATCACATATGACATGTTGAATCTGCAATTTGAAACATCTTGTTCAACATGTTGCTGTAAAGTTAGTTTTACTAAAATTCATGCCAATCATGATTTTATAGAATTAACACATCTATTTTTTCCATCGGATCCAATTTTTATTGGCAAGCATTAGAAGAGAATTCAGAATGCCCTAATCACTAGCCATGTTCACAGCGGTTGATTCATTTGTCCGAGAAACACGATCTCTGGCGTGAAGTTCTTGAAAACTCGATCAAGAACAATAATCAAAAGCTCTGATACCATTTGTTGGGGGAGTTACTAGGGAGCATTGATATATAGTGTAGGAGTAGGCACCTTTGTGAGAGACACGTCACTTATACACCTAATACCTTAAAGTGATAGGTGGGTAGGTTCTATCACTTATATATGCTCAAGTCTCTACATTCCTATCCAATGTGGGACTATTTCTCCAATTACTCACACTTGCAGTATTATTTTAACAATTTTGTCTAATCAAAAGAAGGCCATAATGACTTGTTATAAGTAGGTTGGTGTTATTCTTAGCGTTCTCAATTTTAGTCACAAGTGGTTTGATGGGAAACATGTTATTGACATTGTGCTTCCTACTCTTGTTGGTGAAACGAATCCGAGTATTAATGACGAGATGATAAATATTGCTCCTCTTTAGAGTGTGGGGTAAACCATATTCTCAAGTCTCTGAATCATGAGGCAAAAGGCCTTACAAGAGATCATCACTACATCCTCTTCTAAGAAGATTGTGTGTGAAGGGATTATCAAGATGCTCACTCTTCACTCTGCTGGAGCATCCCCTTCTCAACCTCATATTTATGATATTGTTACAACTCTTTCAGAACAATATCATGAAATGTTTAAGTCAGGCTATAATGATGTGTCTGACTCCAAAAATAAAGAAGATGACAATGTTGTTAATGAAGATATTTTTGAGAATGATTCTCCTACTATGTTATGTTAATTTAGTTTGTTTGACTTTTTTGTTTGTTGGTTGTCTATTTAGTTGATTTAATCTTTATTTTCATTTGGAATGTACCCTCCTTTTGTTCAGAGTGTTGGTTACTTGTTTTGCCCTCAGCGTTTTTAAGGTAAATAAAGGGAGAAGGCACTTCTGTTTGTGAACTTTTGTTGGGTTCTATCTATTAATTCAACATTATTTGACATCTCTCTAACCAAATAAAATTTTAAATATCCTTGAAGATCAAAATAGATGGAAAATTGTGAATGGTAGAGACATAGATCTATCAAGTGATAATTGGCTAGACTTCAAAATTCAAGACATCCATTTGTTGCTTCTAACTAATCTCCAATTTTTGCAAACCTCTAAAGTGAACATATTCTTTCAAGGTAACAATTGAAATATTCCATCTAGTTGTACCATTTTGGTCCCTCAAATTACTAATGGTGTCCTTGAGACCAACTTCACTCTTGATAATTGGACTAAAGACACGGTCATATAGACATGAGAGAAAAATACTTTAGAAATTCACACTTTATAAATTTGGAGAAGAGAAAAACAATTTGAGAAGAAGGGAGAATTGGGAGATAGAATATACACTTTATTTGAAAATGGTTTTGTTGAAAATATAAATAAATATATTTTAAAAGTATTATAACAACAAAGCTAAAATTTAGAAGGAAAAAAAATCCAAACCCTCTAAACTCTCCTCTAATACAAGTTTTAAATATCCTTTCTTTAAAAAGATTTTTTATTAGGAAGAAAAATAAACTTTTAAATTCAAATTAGAGATGTATTTTTCCTTCTATTTCCCTTCCCCCATACATTATATTCCCTCTGGTCTCATTTATAAGAAAAAGTTAACTTTTTAGATACATTAAATAAGTAATGTATTTGGACAATATATTGTCCAAATACATTACTTATTCAATATATATAAAAAGTTAATTTTTTCTTATAAATGAGACCGGAGGGAGTACCTAAAGTTTTCTCCTCCCATCCTATAAGCTTTCAAACAAATTCTTAAAATGTCTCTTGAATTTTAGTCAATAAAATTTTTTACTTTAAAAAAATGGTTTCGTAATCATCAAAGACTAACCAACCAACATGTCCTTGGTCACATTATATGGTAATAAAAACTTCCACACAAACCACAATACCTAATAAATCTATTCTCAAACATACAATTACCAAACATCTATGGTTTAGTATAAGGATTAAAACAATCAGTCAAAAATAAAGTACAAGATTCAAGCAACTATAATCCATATGTACAATATCATGATTAACAACACACATATATATATTTCTTTAAATAATCAATTCTCTAAAGAAATTAAGCTAGGAAAAATAATAAACCCTAGAAGCTAAGCTACATAATGAGTAGTATACATTACGAAAATAAAAATTAATGTTATATACCAATATCGTAGTGTAATTTGATCTATGTAGTCGACTTCATTTAGCGAAATAAGATTTGGTTGATATCCAGAACTTTTATGAGTAGATAATATCGTCCAAGAGATCATCGAAAATCAAATCATCTATCTCAAGCCCGACACATTCAGAATCAAATTGAAGATTCATCCACCCATCATTTCTTGCTAGATCTTTACTAACATAGTAATCCAATGATTGATAAGCCTCATCAGGAGGAGCTGAACTGAGATACCAAGTAATAAGTTTCCATACTTTATGTAAAACATCATCTCTTCCATTTGGCAATCGATGAACATGAGATAGAGAAGACAATGGTCTAGGATAATAGTTATACGATCTACCGAAAATCTCCAACAATCCTTCATTGATTATATCAAACAAAAGAAGATGATTGCAATGTCCGCCTTCACAATTGCCAGAACAATCGGGATCAAGAAGCAAACATCCCTCTAGTTCTTGGTAAATCGATGGATCAAGTGGTTGGTAATCAGAATACCATGTTTCAAGAGACTCATTGCTAGTGAAACCCGAGAGGTCTAAAACTTTCTTCACATAATTAAACGCAGCTTCGTTATTCGTATCAATTTCGTTGCATGGAATTTTATATCCATGCTTAAGAAAATTCTCAACCTCCTCAAACTGGTCTGTTTTTGCCTCTTGTTGCTCATACATATAGTTCAACTCATCACCAGCTAGCATTGGCTTTAACTCTTGATCTGATTCTGCACATGAAAAAAATCGACATAAACATCGAAATTTGATTATAACGTTAAAGATGAAATATAGAAATGTTAAAGTATTATATACTATACCTTCTAATATATTTAAGTTTTCCAACTCAAATGTAGAATCTAAGAAGCTGGTATCAGAAGAGAAAGCTGAGTTTCCTTCAACCAACATAGTACTTGATTCTGTTGCATAACCAATGTCTTGTTCATTGCTACCAGAAAATTGCGTGTCTCTCAAGTTACCTAAACCATCAAATCCTATACTCTTTTCCGACTTTACGTCGTCGTTAACATCTGATCCTGAATCCGAAGCAGTGTTAACAATAACTTTGCTTTCTTCATTTGTATGATCAGAAGGTGCAGGTGAAGGTGAGAGAATTTCACTATTTGAGTAGCCATCAATTAAACTTGAGCTTCTAGTTCTATCTTCAGATTTTCTAACTGAATTCTGAGGAGACAAGAGAACAGAAGGGTCTTCATTTTGGTTGAAATATGATTTTAGATTAGGTAATGAAAGAAACCTTTTGAACGATTTCGGTGTCTTCAATACCGAACTTTTCTCTTCTGTTTTCAGCTTTAAGCTATCACTCTTAGGAGGCTTCTCTTCTTTATTGCTAACAACTTCTTTGTGAAAACAAGTATCATAAAGCTGAGAGTATCGACCGACCGATTCTTTTAGAGACGATGTCCTCAAGCCTGATGATAGTTGATGCTTATTGTTTTGTTTGAACTTTTCGTGGCTCATCAACTTCCTTACATTCTTGGAAAACTTGTTGCCACGGGGAATTTTGTCGACTACAGCGTCCATCTTAATGCGAAGCTTTTCGTTTTTGCTTTCTTCGATTATATGCTTTATCTTTTTTCTGAGATCCTTGAAGTTCTTATTCTTCACATTGTTTGAAACTTGGGACGAGCCTGACGAAGTTTCTTTATAGTCTCGTTCAACCGATTCTTGATCCGAATGGACTAGTTGATGATTAGCTTTATGTGAAGAAGAAGAAGTTGATGGTTTGTGAAAATCTGCTAAATTTTGAATTTCTGATTCTATCTCTTTTTTTGAATTCAACAATTCATCTACCAAGTTGTCAGAAGAAGATGATCCACCAACAGGTAATGAGATGGATTTGGCTCGTCTCGATTTAGCGTTCGGAGAATGTGGTTGAGTATGAAGTTCAAATGGCAAAGGAGAGCCAGGATCATTCATATATTTCAATAGAAAGTCTTTGTTTGTGTTGATAAGATCAAGAGCATCAAGAAAATCCTTGAAAAGAAGCGGAGAAGCATCGGTTGTGAGTATTTTCGCGTTTATCAGTTTATCTTCCTGCAATCCGTCGCTCATCGATAGATTGCGATGCTTATGATGACTCCTGTGATCATGTTTTTCCAAAGGTTCACTAGAAAACGCTGCCCCGCATTCAACGCATTTGTCGTTGCTGTTATTGGAGAGCGAGTTTTTCCTTGAGATAACCGGTGACAAAACTTCCAATGTTCCAGCTGCAAGATGGTTTTGAAAAGTTTCTAGAACTGGTTCTCGATTCTCAACTGTTAACAGCATTTCACTCAGTGGATCAACTTCCAAGTGATGAACTGAATCGATTCGAGTTAGCTGCGATTTTGTAGGACAGGTTGAGCTTCTCTTGTGTCTCCCTCTCATTTTGTATGTTTCTTCGTTAAGAAGTGCTTTTATTTTTGATTTTATTGAGTATTTATTTTGTTGAGTGCTTTGTCCAAGCTTATTTTCTTCTTCAACCTGTAAATAGCCGCATAACTTGTTCTCAGGTGTCGTGTCTGATGTCTATGTATTTGATTTACAGTAAGATATTCAAAATTACTAACATTATAAAGAGAGAAAATCAATACAATATTCTCCTTTACTTACATTAGATAAAGGCATACTTGGCCTCAAATTCTCTCTCATAGAATCATCAGAAGTTTCTGGAATTTCATCATTTCCTATAAAGTGAAAAAATGTTCAGACATTTAACACGATCCTAACATTGACACGAAGATATACATAATAATTTAAAAATAATTAAATTAAATATAATTATAAATATTGGTGCAGGTGTCTGATACCGATACCGACATATACACTTTGTAGTGCAGGTGTTATATGATTATATGCTTACTTGAATCATCAGGTCCATTACAAGGCCTCCTTTGAGTAATCCTTCTCTTAACATGACGCCAATGATGATACTTTATTATATGAAGAATTCCCCAAACTCTTCCTGCATGAGTATGATGGCTATTTATTCCATTAGAAATTCCACTCTCTTTATCCCTAACTCTCTTTCCCATTGCTCCTTAATTTCAATTTAAACACTTTTCATAAACCTGATACATTTCAAAAAAAAAAAAACAACAAATATCAAGAATCACAAAGTTTCAGAATTCAGAAATTTATATAATTGCATTCAAAATTTCTAGAACATTTACGATCAAAGAATAAATCTGAAAAAAAAAAAAAAATGAAATCTACATCATCAACATTATCATGCATTAACATATCTAATTAGATATCAAAATATTCATGCATGATCATAGAACAATGTTTACCTCTATGATGCCATAACGAAAACCGATAAAAGAAAGTGACATAGAATTTTGTACAAAAATAAAATGTAAATTTTATTATTCTCTAACTGTGACAAATAAAATAAGTGGTGTAAAATTCAGCTTAAAAAAGTAAAATTATATCTATTTTTGTTAAAAATAAAATTTTGTTGTTTATTTTACGTAAGTGAAATTTGAAATCCGCATGCAGGTAACCGATTACCCAGTTATGGTAACCGATTACCTCAAAACAATAGCGTTTTCCTTAACTTTTTGAGTTATGGTGACCAGTTACCCACTTATGGTAACCAGTTACCTCAAAACAATAGCATTTTCCTTAACTTTTTGAGTTATGGTAATCGGTTACCCAGTTATGGTAACCGGTTACCCAGACACAAATATTGAATTTCGCTTTGTTTTAATGCATGTTTGTACATATTTCCTTGTTTATTCTAACTTCTTTTGTGAATACTTTGCAAGGTACATTGTTAAGCCTTCAACCTTTAATTGGCACATGATTATTGGTTGAAAAACACTTTACGCGATCACTTGTTAGTGAAAGTTTGTGTATGATACACAAATGATATTATTCTTACATAAATCTTATTTTGTGCTGGTACCCTGGCATCACACGGATGTGTCCACTACACATTCTACCGTGTGATTGTTGTTTCATATATTGTATGAATTGTACTTCTTGCAGGTACTTTGGCATCACACGAATGTGTCTGCTACACATTACTCCATGTGATTGTTATATTATGTATGAATTGTACTTCGTGCAGGTGTATTTTGATATTCGGATGTGTTCGGTACACATTCCGATCTTGATTTATTAATACTTTGACGCTTAGGCTGATGGTATTTTCTTTATTGGTGATAGCAGCTCGCAAAGTTTTCCTGGTTTCTTTGGATTATTATCCGTTTGGTACATTTCCCTTTTATTTTCCTTTTCGCATTTTATTGCTTTCTAGAGATCATGTCAAGTAGGGATTTTACCGCTTTTTGTGCCATGAGAAGTAGGAATAGAGATGTATGATGGGGATCTCTATTGTTAATCATGTCAATAATCCCTCTGATTTATTTAAAGACTCGTTTAAGGCAATTCTGCATTATATGCATCATGTGTGCTACTTGTGTTTGTTTAAAATCCTACCTTTGAAGTAGGTATTCTGCAAGTGTGTTTACATTTGTGCTCGCATATTCCCCCACCCCAATAAGTCCTCAAAAGGAGGCGATCAGAAAGGTTTCACAATCGAACCCCGCATTTCGTCCGTGTCATCCTTAACTCATGTTGTACGTCGATGCTTTAGATTTATGCAGATCATACGTATCGAGTCGGTCAAGTGGAAAAGGATTTTGCAATCAAACCCCTACACTTTGTCAGGAGTTCGCAGTGGCCATTTCTAACACTTCGCTACCCGCTTGTTTGCTTCGAGTGATCCACTCCCCTTAACTAAGGTAATGCTTTTCTTTTTTATTTCATCTCAGTCTCCCGCTTGTTTTCTTCGAGTGATTCGCTCCCCTTAGCTAAAGCATTTTCTCTCCCCTGAGTCAATATACCTCAATTGTGCGCTTTTGCCAAAGCACTTGTTTGTATATAACATGCTCCCTTAGGATGTGCTTGTTTCTTTCTTGATTCTAGCTATACCTTAGGATAGTAATCCATACATGCTAATATAGGGTAGAGATTTCCCTTTCAAAGCTCAACCTTAGGATCCATCATTGTATGATAACATTAGGGATTAGATTTATAGTCTCCCTTAGATTTTTTTTATTTCTTTTGCATCCTTGTATTAAGACAAAAGCTCTTTTCTTGGCAAATGCATAAAACATCTAATAAATTTCAAATCCTTTTTTAAGGTAAAAAACATAAACCAATGCAAACTCTTTTGCGCCTTCAAGCCCCATTTTCTTTCAATTTTTTCAAAATAGCATGTTAGTTTCTTTCCATTACAGGTTGTAAGTCTCCAAAGGTCGAGCAACAATGGAATGATTGAATTTAACATTGTTCAACTAAAAAGCACAAACCCACCAAAACAAAAGAGCCGAACTACGGCTGCTATGATTCCTTAAAAGGGATACGTAGGCATTGGGGTAGGGCCCGAACGAGCACAACTTTATTTTCCCTACATTATTTTCTCTTTTCTTTTGCATGCATTCCCTCTTTCTTTTTTACTTAAAATCTTAGACATAGACTTTGACCACACCCATTAGATTAGAATAACATGAGTAAATACCATAGAATACTACGAGTGTGTGGAATGCTAATACCTTCCCCTTGTGTAATAAACTCCTTTACTCGATCTCTCAGTCGTTTGATCATGATTTCACCCTTTTCAGGTTTACTCGGTATTTACCTTTCCCTTCCCGTGGGATAAAAAACGTTCGATGGCGACTTCATTGATTTCATTATCAGTTGACAGTTCAACTTGTTGTTTAAACACCTTATAATAAGCACTTTCTATAAGATGTCTCATTTCAGGGAAGCGCATCAATTTTTCAAACGGTATTAGACCACTAATACAAGGAACAAGAGCATTGAGAATTGTATCGTAATATTTTTTTTTCTCGTATAACATTGTGTATGATTATCAATGCATCATCAAGTATTTTATAAGTCGATGGCAGACAAATTGGTAGTCTTCATCTCCTTTACCGAGAAATATTTTAAAAGCCACATTTGTAGTCTCCTTTAACATCTACAATTCGCCCAACATCTACAAAACCCACTGAAAAAGTCTTCTTCTTCGTAGTAACACAAACAATTTCAAGTAGTGGAAGCCTATACTTGTTAATCTTATATGTGGAATCGATAATGAGCACATTGGGAAATGTATTGAATAACTTGATAGAATCAATATGAGTCTAAAATATATCTCGATTAGTGACTTTATCCTTACAAACTATGTACCTAGAAAGATAATGGTGATCATCCAAAAGCTTTAAGTGTTGTTGCATTTCAGATCTTGGAACTCTTACAACCTTGTTGTTTCGGGCTCACACATTATATATTTGCTTGATACTTGAAATATTTTTGAGGATTTTTTCGTTTCAAACTTACAAGTATGTTTTTCAGCGCTACCAAATTTAATGTCATATCCGAAACAAGTTTCCTCTTCTCCAGAATAAACCGATATACAATGGGATGATCGGCTACCTTTCACACAAGGCATGGTTATGTGTACTCGAAACCACATTAAATTTTTATGTATCATCTGCCTTATAGTATCTGCATAATTTAAACGGACACACACATTTTTTCGATCTGGTGTCTTCACGTTTGAACTTCCTAATCGGTGGTTGGTACGTATCACATTTTTTACATCTCATTGTTACAAATGGTTGTTTTCTAACATAATCATTGTCAGACCTTTGGATTACAACGCCAAAGTCCAATTTTTCGGCCTCCATGTAGACCCATTGTAGCATATGTTCACGAAGAATTAACTCTTGTTTATTTGTGAATTGTTCATGAACAACTACCTCGATAACAACCATTCTAGCACCCGGTTTAACATCATACTTCACTTCATCTAGTTTAACATCATCATTCACTTCATTTGATTTAGCATCACCATTCACATCATCTGATTTAACATTCATTTTCATTGTAGCTTAGGAAAACATATTCGGGTGCATCCTTTCTAATATCAATCATAACATAAAAAACAGATTCAAAACTCAAAGTTTCATACAAATTTGAAGACAGATCTCCAGAACAGATGGATCTTAGTCCGGAGATGCATATCCCGACTCAACATTCTTTTTTTCATCTCAAAAATCAAATTAATGTCAGAAATAAGAGATGAAATGAATGAACTTTACCTTAAATTCCATATTCTTTTACTCCTTTTGATGTGATAAAATATAAGTTTTGGTATTGAAAAATTGATTGAGAATGATATTTTTTTAAAGGATTTTGAGAGTGAAATTGAGTTTTATCATGAGAAAGAAAAACATGTGTGATACGGTGGGAGAACTGACTTGAAGGTTTTGCATTTGTTCGCAAATGTTGCGGTTAGCAAGAGTCGCCACCGACTTTTCTTTTATCCAAAAGGAAAGGTAAAAAAGCACAAGAAAGATCTTTGAGATTGTTTCTTGAGTTCGGGGGGTAGATTATGAAAAGGGAAGGTATTAGCACCCTTTTCATCCATGGTTTTACATGGGCTCTTAGTTACTTGCTAGATCACTTGCTTTTGTTTGAAATTGTGTTTTGTGTGGTTTTTGAAAGTATTTTGTAAAGAGGTCATTATTTAGGTAATCTTTGTAATGATTCTCGTTTGTAAGAATGTATACAAAGATGTTTGTCTTTTTGAAAAATATTTTCAATGTTTGTAAGATGTTTGGAAATGTGTGTGTTTATTTTGAAAATAGCAAGGATATTTGTTTGAAATGCAGCAAGTAACTAAAAGTAATCTACCTACTCAAATGTCTTTCTTGTGCATTTTCTTTCCCTTTGATAGTGTTGTCTTACCATTGATTTGGTAAGCAACCCTATCTTTGCATGTAAACGGGACAGGCGTGGGTCATCGTATAACCATGATTAGCAATTTTATAAAGTATCTTAGCATTTTTTTGAGGGACTAAGATCATTTTGTAAGGCAACTTTGGATAGCGTCATCGAGGGGCTATGATCTTATATTTGTTTGTTTTGCTAAGATATCTCACATGCGTAATATGGCCATTTTGTATAAGGCAACCAAGTGGAGTAACCCTAAGGGTGCTTGTGTGCAAGTGTGTCA